GTGCTGTTCCAGTCGTTTTTGGATAATCTTCAGTAGAATCTTGCTTGCATGTGAAATCAATGAGATTGTTCTATAGTTTCCACACTCTGTTGTGTCACCTTTCTTTGGGATGGGAACAAATATAGATCTTTTCCAGTCATATGTTGTTTCATTAAATTCTTCTGTATTGAAAGGAATTGGCAGACACAGAAGAATTTTATGAAACAACATATGAGCAAGAGCCTATGGTGATGAAAGAAGTAGTTCAGTCTGCTTTGAAGGAAATGGCCAAAAAAAAAGGCCCCAGGAATAGATGGTATACCAATTGACATATTTCAGCTAACAGATGGTGTCCTGGATGTGCTCACCAAGTTGTGTCAAGAAATCTGGAGAACAACCACTTGGCCAACTCTTTCCATAGGACAGGTCAATTAAAAAGAAACTCAACAAAGACTCAGAAGATTTAAACTATACAATTAATATGCAAATTTGGCCTCTTAAATTTATTAAGGGTACTTCACCCAACAGAAATGAAATTAACTTTCTTCTGAGTACACATGGTACATTCTCCAGAATTAACTACATATTAGAACACAAAGTAAGCCTAAACAAATTTAAAAAAACTACTGAAATAAAGTATCTTCTTAAATCACAATGCCATAAAAATGAAACAACAGGAGGATGAAGGGGGGAAGAACACTCAAATGGAAGCTAAATAAGATCTTGGTAGAGCACTATTGGGTTACAGAGGAAATAAAAAATGAAATGGAAAAAGCTCCCCAAAACAAATGAAAATAAACATATCAAAACCTCTGGTAAAGAGCTAAGACAGTCCTCAGGGGTCAGTGCATAGCAATAAGCAAACACATAAAAACGCAGCAGCAAAATACACCACTTATCTCAATATCTCCAGCAAATAGAAAAAGAAAGACAACCTAACTTGACAGCCTTTTTAAAAATAGAAATTATAAAGATAAGGACTAGAATCAATGGGAGCACAGGAAAACAAAACAAGGAGTGGATTCTACAAAAGGGTTAATAAAATAGACAAACCATTGGCAACCTTAATGAAAGAACATGCACAAATAATTTGAATAAGAAATGACAGAACCAGTGGAAACAAAATCAATAGTATTGGAATACTATGAAAAGCTACTAATAATTCAATTGAAAGAATTTTAAAAGCTATTAACATTTCCCTGAAATTGAAAATCTAGTTTCTAACCTTGAGCAGAATTTGTGTATCAAAAACTTTATTTAATTGGGTTAAATGGAAGTCCATAGACAGGAAATCAACATTTAGTAATGACATTTTAGACAAGAGCCTCACAACCGAAATTTACAAAATATTATAGTGTCTCCATAAGAAAAAGACTGATAACCCAATCACAAAATAGGCTAAAGACTTCACAAAGGAGAACATTCAGAGGGCTAACAAACACATGAAGAAATACGAAAAATCACTGGCAATCAGAGAGATGCAAATAAAAACAACAATAAGATACCATCTCACTCCAGCAGCAGTAGCAAAGATTTACTAACACAGCAAACAATAAATATTGGAGAGGATGCGGAGAGATTGGAACTCTTACACACTATTGAAAGGATTGTAACATAGTACAATTACTACCGAAGGCAATTTTAGGCATTTCCTTAAAAAGTTGAATATAGAAATCCCAAGCTGTTCCACCTGTAGGAATATATTCCAAGGAAATCAGAACAGACGTGTGAAGAAAAAAATACACACACACACACACACACACACACACACACACACACACACGTGTATTATTATAGCAGTGTTATTCACAATAGTAAGAAAATGGAAACAACGTGAATACCCAGCAACCAACAAATATATTGGGACATTGGGTTATATTCAAACAATGGAATATTGTGCAGCACTCAGGAGTACTGACTTTGTAGAATACTATACAACACAGGAGAGTCTAGAGAGCATTACCATGAGTGAAATAATTCACTCATAAAGGACAAACAGTGCATAACCCCAGTACTGTGGAAATAGGAAAATGACTGAGCAAGATATGTACATATGTTCAAAAGGGGAAGAAGGGAAGAAGTGGGGACAGGAAGTGAAAAAAAAATCACTAGGATAGCAGAAGTTAGTGGACCTGGGAGTGAAGGAATAGGAAAGATTCAATGGGGACTTGAAAAGACGGACTCATAATAAGCATAGGTCAATATAACTAAATTATATAAATTCAAAACATATGAAAGATTGCATAAAACAATGTACAGGAGTGAAAAATAACATGTCTGAATAACTGTATGCAAACCCTTTAAAATTTTTAAAATGATCCATTTCCTTTTCTTAAGGTACATATTAAAAAAATTTTGGGGAAAAATTATTTTATATCAATCTTCTAACCAAATTTTGTTTTGTTGTTGTTGCTGTTGTTACATACTGTCAAGTCAGAACTTACTCATAGCTGACTCTACAGTGAGTTTTCAGAGGCAGTAAATTGCATGGGAGGCGCCTGTCCATCTTTCTCCTGAGGAACAGCTGGTGAATCCAAGCCTTGTCACTTTTGACTGACAGCACAATTCCTTACCACCAAGCTATCAATAGAGATGTCTCCTAAAGTATTTATTATGGAACACAGAATTAATTTATTGATAATGTTAAATAAATTAATAACTATATTTAAGTTTCCATTTTAAAGCTTAATATGATAATCCACATAAATAAAAACTCTGATTCTTCAGTCATTTGTGTTTAAAGGGGTCATGCTAGACAATGAATAAGGATGACAGAAGAAATTTTGAGTTGTGACGGAGAAGTGCACTTAATATTCTGTGGACTTCCAAAAGAAATAGAAGGAATGTATAATTTAGCACATGGATGACAACAATCTGGGACCAGGGGTGCATTGCAAAGCAGACTGGGGGAAGGAGAAGGCAAGGGAAGTGAGGAAATTGTGCAACAATGAATGGAGGAAAAACTCAAGCTTTCTGTAAATTTTTGTTAAAATCACCATGAAGAAATAAAACAAAATAAACACACCAAAAAATAAGCACATATATCTTGGAAATAAAGTAAATTAGAATGTTCCTTGGAAGTCAAAGATGATAAAGCTTTGTCTCACATATGTAGGGCACGCTGCTAGGAGAGGCTAATCTTTGGCAAGTGATATCATTCTTGGAAAGCTGAATGAATGGTCAGTGAAAGAAAAGGAAGAATGTCAATGAGATAGATTGGCAAAGTATAGCCATGAGCTCAAGTGTGTCACAGATGATGAGGAATGGCACAGGATGCAACAGGGTTCAGATCTGTTGTTCATAAGGTCACTATAAGTCATACTTGACTCAATAGTGCAAAACAAAGGGATATAGAAACCAGAAAGTTCTGAAAGTCACTGAAAAAAAAAAAAAGAGCAAGATATCCAAAGTTTGTTACCACATAGTAAACAGGTAAGTTTACTGAGAAAAGTATCTGTCACTGGACATAAATAAAAGAAGCTTATCATTCACATCAGAAGCTCTGTTGTCCTAGTGGCAAGAAGCTGTGCTGCAATCCTGAAAGCATGTGATTCAAATCTCTGCAGGAAATGATGGATAATCTCCTCCTGTGGTATTAACTGCCTCTGAAAATCTGGTGGAGGGTCAGCTATGACTCTATTTTGACTTGATGGCACACAACAATAACAACATCACTCATATCAAGAGTTCAGTGTCACAAAGACCTCAGAGAAGTAATAAACCAATATAAAATGAATATTAAAACAATGTATCAGGTGTGATTAACTCCATGGCCACCAAAAATTCCACTTGAATGCCAAAATTAGCCAAGGAATTTCTAAGAGTCAAGAAAGTGAGTAATGCAGGCCAGACACCATGAGGGCCAACTTTTAGACTTCAGGAACTACCTAAATACAGTTTATTTGACACTGTAGGCTATATAGGACATTTTCAAAAGACATACACACCACTCACATGGAGATTATAATAAATGTTGGTCTGTCATCGAAGGGTTTTTTGTCATCAACAAATATTTGACTTTCTTATATGACTGTTTGTGCTATGTGATGGTGTAGTTAGCAAATGTAGATAGGAGACACAGTCATGTTCATAAATTACTTTCCAATGTGGTAAGCATTGAAAGGTAAGCTCAACTAATATTTATTACATATCTACTAAAGGTTTGGAAAAAACAGAGGATAAGTAAAAGAGAGGAGGGTCCTCAACAAGCAGTCTTACATGGGGACTGCAACAATGCCCTTAAGCACAGTATTGACTGGGATAGTAGGACTGTGTTTTGTTCTTATTGGTATGAGTACGCATCAATTGCATGGTAATTAACAGCAAAACCAGGTGTTGGACTCTTTGCTAGGTGATGAATATTCAGGGGTGAGCAAAGTAGATGCCATCTCTATAGGTCCTATAGATATTAAACTATTAAGCACACAGAGGAGTATACTTAGACAAATAATAATAAATACAGAGAGAAAAATAATGTATTATGAGGACTTCTTTATTCATAAACTTTTTTGTAACATCTTAAACTTTTAATTCTTCCGAGGATACGGAGACGTGTTTGGATAGCGGGCATTGTCGCGTGGTAGTTGTGTCCCCGGTGGAGGCCAGGCGTTGACGCAGTGAGTTCTGGGGGGAAGAGAGAGAGAGGCGTCCTACTTTGAGGGGTGTGTCTGAGGGACACT